CCCGAATCCTATAACCGCCCCCCCCCCCCACAAACACACACACAGTACCCGGACCCTGCAACCCCCCACCCCCAGTAACCAGAGCCTGCAATCCCACACCACGGTACCCGGACCCTGCAACCCCCCCCACGTCATCCCTCCAATCACTGAGAGCCCGTGACTCCCTCTCCACAACACCCCCCCAATCACTCAGAGCCTGCGAACGGCCCACACCACCCATCACCTCTGATTCCACATTCCCCGTGTCCCTCGCCTGCCCGTCCCGCCTTACCTTCGGTGTGGGAGTACCCCTCGGCCGTGACTTTCCACTGCACCAGCACGCCCAGCATGGCGAGGACAGGCCAGACGCCCAGGATGACCCAGCTGTACCAGCACATGGGCCGCGCGGGCGCCACCTTGACGCGCTCGTAGACGTACTGCACCAGCAGCAGCAGCTCGATGAAGTAGTCGACGGTGACGGTCATGATGGCGCTGCCGAAGACGGCCGTGGAGAGGGTGGTGAAGAACTTCTGCCACTGCAGGGTGAGCACGGCGCCGAGCATGCCCACGCCCAGCAGCAGCCCGATGGGGATCCACACCGTGGGCGGGTGGTAGAACTGCTCCATGGCCACCAGCGTGGCCAGCGCCAGCAGCAAGCCCAGCAGCAGCCCCACCATGAAGAGCCCGACGCTGCGCACCAGCATGGTGACCAGCCCGCACAGGACCCCGATGCCCAGCCCGATGCCCACCGAGGCCTCCACGCTCAGCTGCGTGTCCAGCACCCGCTCCTTGTAGCACAGCATGAAGATGATGATGGAGCCAAACATCAGCCCGGTCAGGAACATGACGGCCTTGAAGCAGCGGTAGCCTAGGGAGAGCAGGCTTGGTCATTGCCGGAGGCTCTGTCCAGCCAGCGGGGATGCAGCGTTGGCAGGAGGCCTCCCTGGCACACCCTCAGCTCCCCTCTGCGCCGCCCGAGGGCGGGGGGCTCCTGCTGGGGGGTGCGGTGCCAGGGTTCGCCGCAGGCGGCCTCAGCGCAGGCACAGATGTGCTAGGCCAGAGATACTGACTGCGGCTCGGTGATGGCCTGGCTGACCGAGCCGGGTGCTTTCAGTATGTGATAAAATGACACCACGTGCGCTGCCATTAAGCGGGGAGAATTACATCGCGTCCATGGCAGAACGAATTCCCCCTCCCGGGCGCTCATGGGCAATGCCCATCGCTGTGTCGCCTGAACCCCTGAACTCTGAGTGTTGGAGTCATTGTCAGACTGGAGCTGCAGCTGGGAGCTCCTGCCCTAGCCCTGCCGCCCGCCCCAGTCTCCTCTCCCCCAACCCGGCCTCAGCCCCATCCGCTGGCTCTCCCTGGCTGTGGGGAGGAACATGGGCTGGGAGCCAGGGGCCCCGCGCACAGAGAAGTGGGCTCAAGTGGGCCAGAGCTGCAAGGCTGGGCGCCAGGACTTCTCACTTCTGCCACTGACTCGCTGTGAGCTGGAGGGAGGCCAGGCCCCACCCCTGCGCCTCAGTGTCCCCACATGTACGGGGGAGAGCAGGGAAGCAAAGCATGCTGGTTATTGCTGGGCTCTCTGGCTGCCCTCCCGTCACCTTCACTCCCCAAGCCCCCATCTCTTGCCCCACTCCCCCCACTCCCTGCCCCGCTGCACAGCCGAGGCGGCCAGCCCGGCCCTGCCGGACTCACCGAAGAAGCAGTAGATGATCCCAAAGAGGCAGCACATGGCGCACACGACAGAGGGCACCACCTGGTACTGGCGCTCGATCTCCTGCTCGCAGCTGTGCACCCACTCCTGCCCGGTGTCGTGCGGCAGCAGCTTGAAGCGCAGCGTCTGCACAGTTGAAGTCATGGCTCTTGGCGATCCCGGCGGGGGCGTCAGACGCCCCACGCCCTCCCCACGCCCCACAGGCCGCGCTGCATCCAGGAGCCTCCTCCAGCTGGCGAGAGGACAGAACAGGGGAAGGGGATGGGATAAGAGCTGGCCTGCCCCGAGCACCCAGCGCAGCCCAGTACCTGCCGGCCCCAGGCAGCACCCACCTCCGCAGCAAGAACTGCAGGCTGGGTGCCCACCCCAGAGCCACCCTGATCCCTGCAGCACTGCAGTGGGGGGAGCTCGCCCCCCCCTCCCCCCCATGCCTGGTGTCCTCCCAGGTCATGGGACAGAGCGGGACCCTGTGCTGGCACCAGAGGAGCTAGGCTGGAGTAGGAGGCAGCCCTGGAGTGGCTGTGGGGAGGAAGGCTCAGGGACAAGTGGGCTCTGGCAGGAGTGGGGGAGGCCATGGGAAGGGGGCTTGGGATGGGAACCCAGGGGGAGCTTCCTGACGGGGGCCCAGCCCTGGGCTTCCAGCAAAGGTGCGAGGGACCCCCCTGCATCCAGGCAGGTAGGAGAGGGGCCCTGGAAGGGAGACTGACGGGATGGCTCAGCCTCACTATAGTGCATGTAAAAGGCTAGTTAGCAAGACAGAGCCATTTGCCCTGGTTCGGGGGGGGGGGGGGGGGGGGGGGGGGCCACGGGGTGGCCCCCCCGGTGTCGGGGGGGGACTGGGGCTGGAGAGGTGATGGAGGGTGACGGGGGCTCGGGAAAGTCAATAAAGGACTGTTTTGTTTTGGTCCTATTGCCTCCCCCACAAGTGAAGGGTTGTTAGTTTGGCTCAAGGGCCAAACTACTCTGAGAGGAGGGAAACTGAAGCTATAATTGCCCCACTACCAGAGCAAGATGTAAACCAGAAGGGAAACTGAGGCAGCAATGCTGGAAAGGTAAGAACTGTTACAGGTGCCAACCCCCTCAAGAACCAACCCAAAGCCTTGGCACTAACCTAGAGAGATCCCAAGCCTGAACCAACGACGCTGCCCTGCACAGAGAGAACCCGACCCTAACGGACAGGACTCACTGCGCCTGGCGGCACTGATCCAAGAGAACGCAGCCACAGGGCGCTGAGGGAGCCCACACCATCAGCACCGCCCCACAGGGCTCCAGGCCAGACGGGACCCTCGAAGCGCTAGTCTGACTCCTGCATAGCCCCGGCCCCCCCGCACTGAACTTGTGTTCAGCCAAAGCGTCCCCCAGAAAGGCCCGGGCTGGATGGGAACCCTTCAAGCAAAGGGGAATCCACCACTTCCCCTGGGAGCTCGTTCCACGGGTGAAGCACCTGCACTGTTAAACATCGGTGCCTTATTTCTAATTGGGATTTGTGCAGCTGCAGCGTTCAGCTGCGGACTCTGGTTCCGGACGTCTCTGCTGCAGCTGAGCCAGCCGGCCGGAGGTGAGGGGTGCCGGGCTGTGGCTGAGCTGCGTGGCCGGGGGTGCCGGGCCGTGGCTGAGCTGGGTGGCTGGGGGTGCTGCACCGTGGCTGGCCGGGGGCGAGGGG